GTCTTGAGGCAAGGCGCGTAGCCGAGACCTCCGAGAACTCAAGACGAACATGAACATGGATGATCGCCTAGTGTTCAGACCTTAGTTACAGGATTCGCGCAAACAGGCCGCGATTCTTACTCAGAATCGCGATTCCGCGCTTCCTAGAAAGAAACGCGTAAAAATCGCGTTTCTGTGGAGAGAGAAACGCGAATCAAATGAAGATGGGATCGTAAAGGGGAGAGAGAGAGAGAGAGAAACCTGGTGCGTTTGCCTTCGATCTGCCTTCGATTTCAGTCACTCGCCTTCGATCTGCCTTCCGATCTGCCGTAGAGACTCGTTAGCTCCTCCGATCTGCCTTCGATTTGCGTCGCCATGTCGTCGCCTTCGATTTGCCTTCCTTCCTCTCTCTCTCTCTCTCTCTCTCTTGTCATGCGTCTCTGTCCCTCCCGTTTTCAACCTATAACAATATAATTGGTTATATATAAAATATATATATCTAATTTATTATATAAAATATATATCTAATAAATTATATTAACATATTTGTGTCTAATAAAATATATATATATATATATATATAATACATATAATAAATCTAATAAATAATATAATTTGTGTCTATCTCACCCCTCTCCAAATTTTAATTTTTTTATTTATTTTAATATATTTTAACACATTATTTAAAAAATATAATTAATAAATAAAATAATTAATATGTATTAAAAAAATATTTATAAAAAAAAATTTTAATGTGTATTAAAACATATATATATATTTGTATATTACCGCTCCCCGAGGCGCTCCCAACTTAAGAAACTTCTATTGACTCACGCTTCCCCGCTCCCGCTCCCGCCCCCGCTCCTGCTTCGTGCAACTAAGGTTCAAACGGTGACGTCCAAGTTTTGAGGACGGTCAAAAATGGGGTGTTACTTACTTTGGTTCAATAACTTTGTTATTGCTATGTTATTGGTGCTACTAGCTGGAATTTGTGAGTTTGTAGCTTATTTTTTTTTTTTTTTTGGGTTTTTTGGTGAGAAGCCCCTTCCATGAGGCCTATTTTGTCTCAAGCCCACGGATGAAAACAATGGCCCCAAAAGCCCTCAATTAAAAAAATAGCATGAATTGACTGAAATGTCTATCCATATATAAGGGGGGAAATATGAAACAATTACACCGTTTCTCTCCCTTCCCTCTGTTTCATCGATTGAAAACCCTCCTCTCCTCTGAATATCATCATTCGAAATCCCTAGCAACGATTGTAACCCTTCTCTGAGTCTCACTCTGGCTCTCTGGAGCTACTTCGTTACATTTTCGTCGATTGAAACCCTAGCAAGGTTACAGGTTCGTCGCTTTCGTCGCTTGGGCTCGAATCAAACTCGGCATTACGCATTACTCTCTCTCTTGGACACACATTTTACAGGTGATTTTTTCCTCTTTCTGCTAGGTTTTCCATATTATGAAGTCTGCGTGGGTTTGTTTTCATTTTGGGAGTGGTGTATGAGATTACGTTGGGTGAGTAGAATTTGCGATTTTTGGTTGGACTAAGGATCATCTGTTCTAAAAATTTTATCATTATCTTAGAATACTTTAAATTACTAAATCATGTGAGAATGTTAAGGTTTAAAAATTTTGAACAGAGTAAAATTTTACTTTAACTCTAGCCTTTCCTCATTACATTTTGATTTCTGTAGTGTTTTGGTCCTGCAATTTCAATGCTTTGAAATTCACTTGCTTCATGAATTTTTCAGAGTAAAATTTTACTTCCAACCAGAGTAAAATTTTACTTATAATGAGAGTAAAATTTTACTTATTACAGAGTAAAATTTTACTTATAATGAGAGTAAAATTTTACTTATTACAGAGTAAAATTTTACTTTAAATCTATCATTTGTTCGTTACGCTTTGATTTATGTAGTGTTTTGGTCCTGCCATTTCAATGCTTTCAAATTCACTTGCTTATACTGAGAGTAAAATTTTAATTATTACAAAGCAAAATTTTACTTTGACTATAGCCTTTTGCTCATTGCCCTTTGATTTCTGTAGTGTTTTGGTCCTAGCATTTCAATGCTTTCAAATTCACTTGCTTATAATGAGAGTATATTTTACTTATTACAGAGTAAAATTTTACTTTAACTCTAGCCTTTGCTCTTACGCTTTGATTTCTGTAGTGTTTTGGTCCTGGCATTTCAATGCTTTCAAATTCACTTATTTATAATGAGAGTAGAATTTTACTTAATACAGAGTAAAATTTTAATTTAACGCTAGCCTTTGCTCATTACGCTTCGATTTCTGTAGTGTTTTGGTCCTGCAATTTCAATGCTTTCAAATTGACTTGCTTCATGAATTTTTCAGAGTAAAATTTTACTTTCAGATTCACTTGTTTATAATGAGTAAAATTTTACTCATTACAGAGTAAAATTTTACTTTAACTCTAGCCTTTGCTCATTACGCTTTGATTTCTGTAGTGTTTTGGTCCTGCAATTTCAATGCTTTCAAATTCACTTGATTCATAAATTTTTCAGAGTAAAATTTTACTTCCAATCAGAGTAAAATTTTACGTCCAATCATAGTAAAATTTTACTTTCAATAAAATTAAAGTTTTACTTTCAGATTCACTTGTTTATAATGAGAGTAAAATTTTACTTTAACTCTAGCCTTTGCGCATTACGCTTTGATTTCTGTAGTGTTTTGGTCCTGCAATTTCAATGCTTTCGAATTCACTTGCTTCATGAATTTTTCAGAGTAAAATTTTACTGTCTCATTACAATGCTTGTGCATTTTGTTTAGTGTTTATTTGTTTTGTCACATTGTTGTTTATAGTAAAATGTTACACTGTTGATATAGGGAAACTTTTTAGTGTTTGAAAATGGTTGTTAGAAGAAGCAAATTTGGTGATGATGATGATGATGATTTTGAAGTTCCACCAACGGTTATACAAAAGATGAAAGTCCCTAAAAAAAAGAGCAAAAGTAGTGAAGAAAGTCCTTCGAAGTTGAATATTGTACATGGAATACGGGAGAGGGAGAACTATATGAAACAATATAGGTTAAATATTGTTTCATTGATAAACATAATGCAAGACACGAGGTTCACTAAAAGACACATTACTGCCCTTGAGAGAACACCTTTTGGGATGTTGTTTAAATGTTTTTGGAAGAAAAATGATGTGGTGTTAAAGAAGTTCAAGAAAGTTGATGATAATGTCATGGATGTGATCAAATCTTATGACTTTCATGCAAAGGGATTTAAGCTTGGAGGAAAAACATGTGACATATGGGACAGTCATGTTACTTTGATTTTTGGGATAAAATCGGGAATGAAAAAAGTAGATGTGTCATATGGGAAGAAACAAGAATCACCTTTTGTGCAGAGAAGGTTTCGTAATATGTCAAGAATATTTGTAAAGAGTTTGCGAGAGGCATTAGGAAATGCGCTGGAAGGCACAACGAGAGTTGATGTTGAGGATGTTGCACGAATAATGTGTCTATTTGTTGTGGCGACTTTGCTATTACCAACAACTGGTCTAACAGTTGGATGGGCCTTTGTCGCCCTTGTAGAAGATTTGGAAATGATGAATTCGTATGCATGGTCGACTGCAGTTGCATCCACGTTGACTACTTCAATCCATTCTTCATTAGGAAGTCCTGAAAATGTCACTGGAATAAAAAATATAGTACATGCTAAATGAACCAATAAAAAATACACATACACAAACATTTTTAAACTTATATAAAATAAAATACAAGTGTTCCTCGTCAAAAGAGTTCTGTGAGATATATATATTGTAGAAATTTAATGTATAAAGAGAAATAAAGAATTGTATTATTGATTCATGTATTGATTTCTATTACAATGATTCATGATTCCTATATATAGAAGAGGGTGAGTGTGTAGTAGGTAAGGAGTAGGTGAAGTGGAGGTGGTAGTGGTGTAGTGGGTTAGGTTTAGTGGAGTAGGTGAGGTGGTAGTGGTGTAGTGGGTTAGGTTTAGTGGAGTAGGTGAGGTGGTAGTGGTGTAGTGGGTTAGGTTTAGTGGAGTAGGTGAGGTGGTAGTGGTGTAGTGGGTTAGGTTTAGTGGAGTAGGTGAGGTGGTAGTGGTGTAGTGGGTTAGGTTTAGTGGAGTAGGTGAGGTGGTAGTGGTGTAGTGGGTTAGGTTTAGTGGAGTAGGTGAGGTGGTAGTGGTGTAGTGGGTTAGGTTTAGTGGAGTAGGTGAGGTGGTAGTGGTGTAGTGGGTTAGGTTTAGTGGAGTAGGTGAGGTGGTAGTGGTGTAGTGGGTTAGGTTTAGTGGAGTAGGTGAGGTGGTAGTGGTGTAGTGGGTTAGGTTTAGTGGAGTAGGTGAGGTGGTAGTGGTGTAGTGGGTTAGGTTTAGTGGAGTAGGTGAGGTGGTAGTGGTGTAGTGGGTTAGGTTTAGTGGAGTAGGTGAGGTGGTAGTGGTGTAGTGGGTTAGGTTTAGTGGAGTAGGTGAGGTGGTAGTGGTGTAGTGGGTTAGGTTTAGTGGAGTAGGTGAGGTGGTAGTGGTGTAGTGGGTTAGGTTTAGTGGAGGTTTGATTCTGATTTCCAGTACGAATACGAACCGTGAAAGCGTGGCCTAACGATCCTTTAGACCTTCGGAATTTGAAGCTAGAGGTGTAAAATTTTACTTACTCTAAATTAGAGTAAAAGTTTACTTACAATCAGAGTAAACTTTTACTTTGAAACAGAGTAAAATTTTACTTTGGTGGTTAAAGTTTGCTTAATTGCTAGCTTCTTTTCTTTTTCTATTTTTCAAATGCAGGTAAATCACAATGAACTGAAGCCCATTTCCAGAGAAGAAATGACCCTTATTTGCAATGATGATGAAGAAGATGCATTGGAAATAGAGGAAAATTTGGAGACTGAAGAAGATGCATTGGACATGGAGAAAAATTTGGAGACTAAAGAAGATGCATTGGACATGGAGGAAAATTTGGAGACTGAAGAAGATGAAGATCATGTAGCTGAAGCTTTAGGAGATGATCAACCTTTGAAGGACTTCATTGATCTTCAAAAGGAAAACAAAGGCTGAAAAGTGAGAATATGGCGTTGGTTGAAGAACTGAAGAAAATGAGGGAAACAATGCAAAAAATAGAAGAGGATCAAGAGGCAAAAACAAAAGAAACAATGGAAAAGATGAGCAACACAGAGAAAGAAATGGAGAAACTGAGAAAGGAGATTGAAGTACTCGAATCTGAAAATAAACAGTTGGTTGAGCAGATTGAAGAAAATGCAGTTCATGCGGCTACCCAAGGTTTTGCTTCTAAAGAAATGTCATATGCTGAAGAAGTAGAACAAGAGCAAAACATTGGGATTCAAAGTACATTGAAAGAATCACCTATAGTCGTAGAGCCATTGCAAACATCCATGGTCAGGAAAATCAAAATCAAGGCGAGGAAGAAAAAAGAGATGTTTGATTTTGAATGTGAGCCAAGAGAGGTAAAGAAAAAAAAGACCACAAAACAAGCAATTGAAGTGATGTCAAAAGAAGTGATTTGTGTTGACAACTTGTCTCTAAGCCAAGCAAAGCCAGTTGAAAGGGTTTTGTTTCCAGATAAGGCTGCAATATGCAAATTGCTTGATGAGAATGATAAGTGTCTACTGAACAAGATTTACAATTTGGAAACCACAGAGTAAGACCATTTTAATTTTGTCAAACAACAGATTTTTACTGTTATCAAACTGCAACGTGTTAATCAACATTTTTTTTACCTTATGACTAGTGCAATCATATGGTCCGGCACAGGAAATGGAGTATATGTTACATTGCATGATGTGGATGCAATTCTGAGAGATGGTGATACTGCAAATAATGTAAGTGGCCATACAAGTTTCAATGACTAGTGTTCACTTTAATAACTAAAAATAGTTTATTTTATTAACATATATTTAATTGGTTTTTGTTTTTGTAGGTCATTGACAGCTTCATAGAAATGCTTCAGATTGAGCAACAAGTCAAGAAGCCAGAAAAGAATAAATCATTCTTTTTCTCAAGCCTTTGTTGGGTAAGCCATCAATCTGTATTTAGTTTGAATTGATGAATTTTTACTATGGTTTAGTGTAACATTGTACTGTATTTTGGAGTTAATTTTTACTATTTGGTTTGCCAAAGATTGACAACTCATACAGTGTGTCACTAACACAACTTGAGACATGACACTCTTATATGATTAAATGCAGTCTTTAGTGAAATGGGGTTATGGGGAGCTGAGAAATCATTTAATTGATAAAGTCCTTGAACAAGATTTGAGTGGATATAGATACCTTCATTTTTGCATGAATTCCAATGGGAACAAAAAGGAAGAAAAACCCTACCACTGGACACTTCTTGTATTTGACACTGAACTTGATGAGTGGAGACATTACAATTCTTTAAGGCCAAGAGACAACAGAGAAGATCCTTACCTTAAGGATGCAAAAAAGATTGTAAGTGCTTTGCATCATATTAACAGTAATTTTTTGTTGTGTTTTATTCTTGAATTTAATCGTGACCAAACAATTATGCAATGATGTTAGATAACATATATAGAGAACAAGTCAGGCAACAAAAGGAAGAGAGGTACAAGAAAGTTTGCATACTTGGTTTCGGTGAAAGGTAGTCCACAGCAACACCCAACATTGTAAGTATTTCACGCTACTACTTCATGCTTGTGAAAGATAGTCCACAACAACGCCCAACATCGTAAGTATTTCACGCTATTATTACATGCTTGAATTGGTAGTTTTCAAATTTGACTAAATCTAACAAGATATTGATTTTTATTGAACAGTGTTGATTGTGGAATTATTGTATGTTATATCATGTGCCAAATCATAAGAGATGAGCCTATTGCAAATTCTATGGAAGAGGATGAAATTAACAATTTCCGAGCGTCAATAGTGCATCAATTTTTGAGTGATTATCCAAAAGCATGGACTGAGGAACAGTTCAACCTCAAAAAAAAAAAATGGGCAAGAGCTAAGACCTCAAGGATGATAATGTGGACAAGTTCTGGGGAACTACTGTGAATGATTTTTGTAATTTCGGTTTTTGTAAATGAAAGAACGGTGAAAAAGTAATTGTAAGTGAAAGAATACTAAAAGAGTATTAGATAGTAGATGCTATGTCTATTGTTCTAGTAAATTTTACTATAGTTTGGTGATTATTATACAAGGATATTTTGTTTTGACTGGAAATGAATGTTGTTATGGATAGAATACAATGATACAGGTAGAAGCTTAAATTTTTTCACTGAATGTTGCTATGAATGTTGGAATGAATGTTGCTATGAATTTTGTTTTGACTGGGAATGTAAGTGAAATGAATGTTGCTATGAATGTTGTTTTGAGTGGGAATGAATGTTGATGACATATGTAGTTGTGTTGTTAGATTTTTTTTGCACAAAGATTGCATGATGATCATCAGGGGAGTTTGTGTGTTGTGGATTTTGGTGCAAGTTGGAAATGTTTTTCTAAGGGGACTAACATATTTTCTGAAATAAAGCAAAATTTTACTTTCAAATGAAGTAAAATTTTACTCTGAAATGAAGTAAACTTTTACTCTTTATATTTTGAAAGATGAGTAAATTATTGCACTTTGTATCTAAAAGTAAAATTTTACTTTATATTTTGAAAGATGAGTAAATTATTGCACTCTGTATCTAAAAGTAAAATTTTACTCTGCATAAAAGTAAAATTTTACTCTGAAATAAGAGTAAAATGTTACCAGAAGAATCTGAAAGTAAAATTTTACTCTGCATAAAAGTAAAATTTTACTCTGAAATAAGAATAAAATGTACACTCTGAATCTAAGAGCAAAATGTTACGGCCGGAAGAAGTAAAATTTTACTCTGTATAAAAGTAAAATTTTACTCTGTACAAAAGTAAAGTTTTACTCTGTATGAAAGTAAAATTTTACTCTGAAAGGCGAGTAATATTTGGACTCTAAATCTAAAAGTAAAATTTTACTCTGTACAAAAGTAAAATTTTACTCTGTACAAAAGTAAAATTTTACTCTGTAAAATTTTACTCTGAAGGGCGAGTAAAATTTGAACTCTAAATCTAAAAGCAAAATGTTACTCTGCACTAAAGTAAAATTTTACCCTCCATAAAAGTAAAATTTTACTTTGAAATAAGGTAAAATTTTAATATAAAAGTAACATTTTACTCTGAACATAGTAAAATTTTACTGTGAAACCACAAGCTCCTCACACCCATAGACAACCATTCAACGACAAAACAAATCAGAAACTAGAACAGACAACCATTCAAGAACATAGTAAAAATGTCTTTTATTGCAATGTCTCCTGACAAATCTAGTCTAAAAGACTATACTATTATTGCTATGGACTACTTATTGCAGAAGAACTGCATTATTTTCATACTTCTATTATAAAATCAATAATGTCTTTCACGGCAATGCCTCCTTGCAAGTCTTCCTATAATGACCGTACTTCTCGCATCTACCACACTGTACTCGTCTTATCTTCTCACCCCTAGATGGGATCTTATTCTTCCTTGGCCTACCAGGTGGCTTCTTACAAATTGGAGGAAGGACAACAAGATCATCCATAGCTACAAGAGGTTTCTCAACAGTGGGTATTGGATAAATGGACTCAGCATAGCAATCTTTTAACTTGCTAGTGTAATAAAATGGTTCCACATGTGCATACAAATCACCTCCGCTCTTTTGGATAGCAGTCGCCGCGTGAGCACAAAGAAATCCATTCAATTGCCATTGGTAACATGAGCAAGTTCTATTCAAGAGGTCAACGCTAACCGATGGCCGGGATTGAACCTCAAAAACGTGATCACTTGAACGACTAACCAACCAAGTTCTTCCACTTTTAAGAGCATTTACTAATGTTGAATCCATCTCCAGACAATGAAAAGTATTTCATTTCTTAGCTTGTTCTCTCATTCTCGACATCAAATCCATGATCTTCAACCTAATTGAATCAATCATCTTTGTAGTGGGCAAATGACGAGCTTGACGGATCCATGAATTGAAAGACTCTGCCACATTCGAGTGCATTTCACCATATTTTTGTCCTTTAAAATATGCATTAGTCCACTTGTCATAGGAA